GACTACCTGCGTGGCATTTGAAGAGATAATATGTGCAATAGTGGGTGGTGCAGGATGCCGTGGCTGTCAGAACGAGAGGGTTTCTCTCAATCATTCGACTCATTTGATGTGCCACTCACTACTCGGTGGATGAAGGAGCTTCATCGTGCTCCACGCTCGAGTGCACTCCAACATCATTCCATTGGTATGCCAATCTACACTCTCCTCTGCACTATCTGCCACCTCTTCCCAACACTCTGCTCCTCGTTTAGACACATGAGGTGTCACTTGGAGGCACGTAGTAGAAGCAACCAAGGTTGCCTTTTCTACGCAACAGCCTCTGCCATGCCCTCTTGCATGATGAAGGCACTGCATGCGGTAAGCGGGTTGGTGGGTTGGTGGGTGGGTGGATGGGTGAGTGGGTGGGTGGGTAGGTAGATATGTAGGTGGAAGGTTGAGCGTTCCATGGAATACACAATAAAGTGCACAATAAACAGTCAGTTGAGGTGTCCACCCTCGCCAAACTCAGAGAAAGAGCCTCAGGCACGCATTGCCCGTCCGTGGGGAGGACTACGAGTCACGAAGAGGTGGCACTGATGTATACTGCTCGTGGAAAAGGGAGAGAGACGAGTGTGCAGTGTCCACGTCAACTGAGGACGTGGGTAGTGAGGGTGAGGGGCGAAGATGATCAGCATGGCTAGTCGTGAGGGTGGTGGAATCGTTTGGTTGATGACAGGATGGATGGCCATTTGACCGATAGTGTGGCTGGGTGATGAAGTGATCGAGTCACATGTGACGTGATGTCAATGTGTAGTGTGGCGTTGGGGGCAAGATCGCATACTTGACAACGTCAATCATGCACACACATAAATTCACTACTCAAAAGTCTTCCCCATCCCTCTCACTCTTCTCCTCTACTCTCTCACTCTGTGTGTGTGCGTGTGTATGTGTTTGAAGGAGTGGAGAAGGTGGTTGAGAGTCGCACAGTGCGCAGTGAGGAGGTCAAGAGACGGCATCTCATGTGCATCCACATGCCGCATAGGAGTAGGTGAATGTGGAAGGTGGAAGGTGGAAGGAGGGAGGCAGATGGGACTGGTGAGTCAGGGACATTGCTGTCCTCTTCACATTCTCCCCACAATACGCATGACCTCATACCACATTTCACAGCCCTCGTGACATTCGTCGAGTGCTGAGTTGCGCTCTCGTCTCCCATCCACCAAACACGCGTCACATGCGCCATGGTGGGAGACAGTGAGGGAGGTGGGAAACGATGGTGGACGAGAACAAAGCTGACCGCAACTTGACTTCCTGCCTTCGAGAAAAGTGGAACACCTAATAGTCATCATGGTGAGTGAAAACGTGCAAGGTCCTTCCAAATGTGGAGGAACTATGCAACCACCTCCACTTCTCCCTTTCCACTCCCCACTCCCTCTCCTCCCCTTTATCACATCCCTCCAACTAATGCCAGTGTAGCCTTTCCGCGTCATTGTCACCGGTATCGCCATGGCTTTCTCTTGCCGTCCGCATCGGCATAGGCATCAGTAGTGGTGTTGGCAGTAGCCGTGACTGCACTCAATTCCATTATTGACTTTCAATCAGCTGCGTAGGCGATGGGAACAGAGACGAGGGAGAGCTATGCAAATGTCTCACTGTGTGTTTCGTGCCTCCCGAGACACAGTGTTTGGCAACTGCGCAATTCTCAATCCACTGACTCCCCTTTCCGTCGTGGTGCTCCAACACACAGTCACACCAGTTTTGGGGGATGGAGGACGGAGAGTGGGCGAGAGGTGGCCTCCTCACCAAACAACACATCTCACACATGTTGTCACGCTTTCACTCTTCCCTCCATCTCCCCACCTTCCCACATCCTCATCTCCACCATCGTTGGTGCATTCTCCACTGCATCAGTCCTCCCTATTCTTCCATCCAACACCGAGATTTGGAAATCGCTCCTCTTTCACTCGCACACACACACATCACCTCGCCTTCATTCCCATCTTCCGCTCCTCTCACATTGCATAGTTGTTTACGAGCCGTATTTGCCAATCCACTGTTTTGTAGTGGTTGGACAACTTGTAATTTGTGCATTACGATGACTCCTTCCCAACCGGAACTGCACGTCGTCCACAGTTGTGTTCGCATTTGCCAAACAATAGTGGAATTGTGTGCGAGCAGGACAACCTCCATTTTAACTTTTTTCTCCCAATTCAGTATTCGTTTTCTCTGGTTGTTTGAACATCGTTGGTG